GGTAAATACAGCTGTTCCAAATGGGAGAAATTGGCCAAAACAAAGGGGTTACAGGGCCCACGCAAGTCCGAAATCCAGCAGGGCAGTCAAATTTTTAAAGCTCCAAAATGATCTTCTTTGACTCCAGGTCTCACATCCAGGTCACGGTGATGAAAGAGTGAAGAAAGAGCTGGGTTCCCATGGTCTTGAGCAGCTCCGCCCCTGTGGATTTGCAGGGTACAGCCTCCCTCCTGGCTGCTTTCATGGGCTGGTGTTGAGTGTCTGTGGCTTTTCCAGGCACACGGTGCAAGCTGTTGGTGGATCTACCATTCTGGGGTCTAGAGGATGGTGGCCCTCTTCTCATAGCTCCACTAGGCAGTGTCCCAGTAGGGACTCTGCGTGGGGGCTCCAACCCCACATTTCCCTTCTGCACTGCCCTGGCAGAGGTTCTCCATGAGGGCCCCGCCCCGGTGGCAAGCTTTTGCCTGGGCATCCAGGCATTTCTACACATCTTCTGAAATGTAGGCAGAGGTTCCCAAACCTCAATTCTTGACTTCTGTGCATTTGCAGGCTCAACATCATGTGAAGCTACCAAGACTTGGGGCTTTCACCCTCTGAAGCCACAGCACTAGCTCTACGTTGGCCCCTTTCAGCCATAACTGGAGCAGCTGGGACACAGGGCACCAAGTCCTTACGCTGCACACAACACAGGGACCCCGGGCCCGGCCCACAAAACCACTTTTCCCTCCTGGGCCTCCAGGCCTGCGATGGAAGAGGCTGCTGTGAAGGTCTCTGACATGGCCTGGAGACATTTTTCCCCATGGTCTTGGGGAATAACATTAGGCGCCTTGCTACTTATGCAAATTTCCGCAGCCAACTTTAATTTCTCCTCAAAAAATGGGCCTTTCTTTTCTACTGCATTGTCAGGCTGCAAATTTTCTGAACTTTTATGCTCTGTTCCCCTATTAAAATGGAATGCTTTTTAACAGCATCCAAGTCACTTCTTGAATGCTTTGCTGCTTAGAAATTTCTTACACCAGATACCCTAAATCATCTCTTTCAAGTTCAAAGTTCCACAAATCTCTAGGGCAGGGGCAAAATGCCTCCAATCCCTTTGTTAAAACATAAGAAGAGTCACCTTTCTCCAATTCCCAACAAGTTCTTCATCTCCATCTGAGACCACCTCAGCCTGGATTTCACTGTTCATATTACTATCCGCATTTTGTTCAAAGCCATTCAACAAGTCTCTAGGAAGTTCCAAACTTTCCCACATTTTCCTTCTTCTTCCGAGCCCTCCAAACTGTTCCAGCCTCTGCCTGTTGCCCAGTTCCAAAGTCACTTCCGCATTTTTGGATATCTCTTCAGCAGCACACCACTCTACTGGTACCAATTTACTATATTAGTTCGTTTTCATGCTGCTGATAAAGACATACTCGAAACTGGGAATAAAAATAGGTTTAATTGGACTTACAGTTCCACATGGCTATGAGGCCTCAGAATCATAGCGGGAGGTGTAAGGCACTTCTTACATGGTGGCAGCAAGAGAAAAATGAGAAAGAAGCAAAAGCTGAAACCTTTGATAAACCCCATCAGATCTCGTGAGACTTATTCACTATCACGAGAATAGCACGGGAATGACTGGCCCCCATGATTCAATTACCTCCTCCTGGGTCCCTCCCACAACACATGGGAATTCTGGGAGATAAAATTCAACTTGAGGTTTGGGTGGGGTCATGGCCAAACCATATCACATAGTTTTCACTGCCCACATGAAAACATACAAATTCATCAGAAAAGTAAATTTTGCTTTTTTTAGATACAGGGTCTCACTCTGTCACCCAGGCTGGAGTGCAGTGGTGCAATCATAGCAATCACTGCAGCCCCAAACTCCTTGGCTCAAGCGATCTCCTGCCTCAGGCTCCTGAGAAGCTGGGACTACAGGTGCATGCTACCACACCCAGCTAATTAAAAATTTTTTTTTGTAGAAATGGGGTTTTTCTATGTTGCCCAGGCTGGTCTCAAACTCTTGGCCTCAAGTAATCCTCCTGCCTTGGCCTTCCAAAGCATTGAGATTACAGGCATGAGCTGCTGCACCTGGCCAGAAGTAAATATTTTATTGATATTTAGTTTTGAAATGAAGTTCTCATGTGGGATTTCCTATTGTGAACAAATCTCATGTGGGACTTCCTATTGTGTACTTTAAGAGGTATTTGACTCTATTTGAAATCCCACACGAGCACTTTATTTCAAAGCTAAAATAACTGGTCTAAAATAATTTGGTCTTTATAGTCTTTACACACCTTTATACCCTTAAAAATTTTACTGAAGATCCAATCTTTTGTTTACATCAGAGTTTCTCATCCTTGACACCACTGACATTTTGGACTAAATAATTCTTTGTTGAGGAGGTTGTACTATGTATTATATTTAGTAGCATCTTTGGTCTTGACCCACTAGATGCCAGTAGCACCCTCCCCATCAAAATTATCAGTTGGGCATGGTAGCTCATGCCTGTAATCCCAACACTTTGGGAGAATGAGATGGGAGGATTGCTTGAGCCCAGGAGTTCCAGGCTGTAGTAAGCTATGATCGTGCCACTGCACTCCAGCCTGGGCAACAGAGCAAGACTCTATCTCTAAAACAATGTAATTTAAAAAAAAAAAAAACCCTCCAGATATTGCCAAATGCCATATGCCTTGTGAAGGGCAAAAATCACCCCGATTGAGAACCAGTGGTTTACACTGCTTATATCTACCAATGTTTAGCATATAAGAAATGAAAACTAAAGAACTTTAAAATTTTTATGAATTCATTTGAAAATAAAAATTCTTTCATAACACATTAAGTGAATGTTTTTATTAAAAAACTATATTTTCCAAACCAAAAAAAGAAATTTAGCAAGAAGGGTGCCAATGATTTACATATTTTGCAAATCTTTTTAATGTCTGGCTTGACGTGAAACCAGACAGTGGCTCCTCTTTTCTGTTTCTGCATTCAATCTGTAGTGATAAGTTGTTTTTGTTGAAGTATATGAAGAAAATTCAGACTAACTTAGATATGTAGTAGGAAAAGGGAGTATATTTTAATACATATTGAGCTTACATTTAAAATATATTTAATTTTTCACCTAGTTACAGATATTGTTCTTTGATGCTAGGCCACATTTGACAAGTTATGCAATTTCTTAATGTCAGTTGCAATGCAGACTCTGAAATCCTATTAATGACCTTTTCACACTGTTAATTAAAATCCACTATCACTTAGTTTTATCTGCTATCACTTTTGCACTTCTCAACATAGTAAAATAGGCAAATATTACCTTAATGTTATTACAAAAACAGATTTGTTGAGGACCCACTGAAGGGCCTCGGGACCTGCATGGTTCATGGAACACAATTTGAGAACCACTGCCTTAAAGGACGAACACAGTCTGACAAAAGTGGTAAGATTTATCATTTATTTAACATTTGGAATGTATGAATTCATAAAAGCAACACTACAGAGGACAGTTTGTTTTCTCAGGACAAGCTTTCAAAAGCTTATTTAAAATGCAGCTAACCCATAATGAAAAGACGTTTCTGGCAATTCCTTCAAATAATTTAGGTGGGAAAATTAATGTGATAGGCTTTTCAAACTGAACTATTAAACATTTAACTTAAAAGCTGAATAATGACTAAAGTTAAACCTGTCCTTTAAGTCTGGTTAGTGAGTTTATTTAGCCATTATAATGTAAAGCACTGAGGAATATTTCGTATGGCAGGGAAGAATCAAAAGGCTCTGATAATAGATTTTCTCATTCAAAATGTTTAAAGTAGTGATTACAGAATTTGAAGTAGAGGGGACAAAAATGAAGAAGTGCCTGAACTTTTGAGAGAATTAGGTATATACTGCTATTCAGGAACCTATGGTGTTAATTATAAATTTTCAGCCTGAACAAAAATATGTAGGTGGTAAAAAAACCTAGGTAGGTAGAATATACTAGGCCTTCCGTTTTATTAGTGGAGGGCAAGGCATTTAAAATTCAGTAGTACTACAACAACGAAGGTGGAAAAAAGTCTGGGAGTTTTTTCACCAAAATGTTAACAGTGGCTATCTCCGGATGGTAGCACTCCGGGGGGTTTTTCCTTTTACTCATCTATTTTCTAGATTCTTTTTCTAGAAGAAACGGCGTATACACGTAATACAAATAAAATAATATTTTATGCAACTTCTTACATCAATCATAAAAATTAAAATAACAGATTATCAAAAAGCAGAGGATTCAACATAAGCTTCACATTGAAGTGACGTGTTAACAATGGCAGTTTTGGTGAGTTTAAGAGGAGAAACTAAGAGATGAGAAGGAAGATCCGGTTTCTTCTTTACTGAAGAGAGACATGATAGATTGGAAAATGTCTCGTAGCTCAATCGTAAAGAAAAATGAGGAATGAATATGAATAATTTATGACAGACTAACTGGAGTGTGAAAGAGAAAGAAAAAGCTGAAGCAGGAAAGGTAACTCGACTACTCAGCCAACAGTGAAACAAAAGAAAACGCGGTAAATTGAGTTTTTAAGACCTAGTCTGTTCCAGTCTATATAGAACACCCCCAAGAAAAAGGAAGACTGCTCATTGGCCTGATAAATTACCTTAGATTCATGACAAGGAAGGCCATTTACTCGCAAAATTTAGCCGCACTGGACGGGCAAGTACCACTACAGAAGAGAAAACGTCTGTGAGCCCCACGACCGGCTCCTCACCTCAACAACTTGCACAGGTACCAGCTCCTTTCGCCGTCCGCCATCTTCCGCCGACCCCCGAACTCAGGAAACGCTTCACTTTCCTCTTCTCTATTGGCTCCTGAGAAACCGAGCCATGCTCGCTCCGCCCCCACGGGCCAATTGCGCGTTACAATTGGTTGCTGGTAGCCGCTTCCCACGGCCTTCCAGCCAATAGAATATGCCGAGACGCAGACTAGTGTTCGGCCTGGCGCACACGGCACCCGCCCCGTTGGGCGGGACAGCAGCAGGGGTTGGGCTGAGGAGGGCGTGGCCTGTGATTGACAGCCGTCGCTCCTTCCCTTGCCCCTCTCCTCCACTGGAAGCCCCCGCCTGGGCGCCTGCGCCCCCCTCCGCGGCCCAGAGCCCGTCGCCCGTTGGAGGCCATTGGCTGGCCTTTGCGCACCGCGGATCGATTTTCCAGGTGCGGAGTTCACTGTCGCCGCGGTTGCTTCCTTTGGGACCCGCGGCGCCCGGCAGTCAGTCGCAGAGTCCGAGGAAGGGGCAGCGCAGAGCGGACCCGACGTGGCGCCACCCGGCACCTTCCCCGCAGACGGTGGGTGAGCCCTGGGAGCTGCGTCTGCGGCCCGACTCTGCGCCGCTCACCTGCCCTCCCGCTCCCGCACACTCCTGAGATCCCAGTACAGTGTCGGACCGCACCAGCGCGAGGTGACTGAGACCGCGGAGGAGGACGGGCCTCCGCCCTGCGGCGCCGGCACGGCAGAGGACACTTAGGCACCGGCGGGGCCGGCAGTTCCAGGGTTGGCACTCCCAGCCCCCTGGGGAGTGGGCGAGGGTCCGAGGCCCACTCTCCCCTCGCGCTCTCATCCGCACGCCCCCAGGTCGGGAGGACGGCGGCGCGCAACTTTGAATCATCCGTGTGGCGAGGGCTGCAGCTTCCCCGGTCCCTAATTAAGGGGCGATTCCCGGACCCCTCTTGGCATAGAGCCGAGCCGCGCCGATGCCCTCGCGCTCCGCGCCTCCCCTCCCCGGATTTTAACACCGCACTCTCCTCCGCCGACCAGGTGACCTTTGGCTCTGAGCCGGATCAGAGAAGAATTCGGCGTCCGCGCGGGACGATGCCTGAGCGGGAGAGACAGATCACTGCCAGAGAGGGGGCCAGTCGGAAAGTGAGTTTTGTTACCCCGCTCCCGCGCAGCGAGCTCACTCCCACCAGGAGGACTTCCCTCCCCATGTCCTACGCTTACTCGACCCCAGGGGGTGCGCAGGCAAGGCCGAGCCGGACCCCCAGCTCCAGGGGCGTCGTGGCGTGGGAGAAAAGGACGCTTTAGAAAAAGCGTGCGGTCAACTGGTGTTTGGGAACGATGGAAAACCCCGCACCTCAAAATGCATCTTTATGCTTTTAAGGGATCTGATGCTGGAGAGGTGAAGTGAGCGTCGAGTTGCTGTTTTGCCCTAATGGCTCAAAACGATGAAGTTAGTTACCTGGAGAAGTTACTCAGAGCCTGGTGCTTGGACCAGATATGGTATATCGAGGCCCTGGAACTTGTATAACTGTTTTAAATTCATTTTGATTGTACAAGTAATACATTAAAACAATCTTTTAAAAATGCAAACAGCACAGAAATATTTTGCACGGAAAGCAGATCTATTTTTCAGTATTTTTCTATTCATGTACGTATGTCTTCATTTGGCAGATATTTATTGAGAACTTACTATGTTTCAGGCATAGTGTTGAAGAGTTGATACATGTATCTATATGTAATATGCACACACTCAAGAGAAATCTTTAGATTTCGTTTGTGTGAGGTGTTAAAATTTTTGTTTTACCTAAATGAGATCACCGTATGTGTATTCTCTAACTTTTTTCAGTTTAACAATATATCTTAGAGATTGTTTCACTGACTGTCTAATTCAGTGCAACCTCTGCACAGTTTGAACGCATCATAGTTTATTCATGGTTTCCTAGTGGTGGACATTCTGTTTGCTACTTTTTTCCCCTCTCTCTTAGAAGTGAACGTCTTTGTACATGATTTTTAATGCTGACGCTGTTTCTTTAGGATAGATACTTAGGCCTGGATTGCTGGACAGAACAGTAGGCTGTTTCTTTTCCACAGATTTCTGAAACTAATTCAGCAACATTGCTGGGTGCCGTTTAGTAGTGAATTCATCTAGGCTCCGGTGATACAGAAATGAAAACTAATGGATTAGTGGATGGATAGAGAGAGACTGGTTGGTAGGTGGTTTGTACGGTATGATGACTATGCATTTGATAGGGGTATGAAGAAATATTGGGAGTGGTGGCTTGTGCAGCGGAGATTTCAACTTCCTACAATGTCCCCACCTAGAGAAAAAAGTCCTGATCCTTCCAAATCAAGCTCAAGACCTGCCACCTCCTTGAAACGTTCTGTAACTGCTCCTGCCCATGTTGACCTGTCTTCTGGAATCCTCTGATAATAGCGTTGACCAACGTTATTGAGCTTACTGTGTGCTGGGCATTGCGTTAGGCACTCGTATCCCTCTATGTGCACTCTTGTGTTTAATCCTCACAAAAACCCTTTGATGTAGATATTATATCTTATCAACATTTATTCAACAAATATTTTTTTGAGTGCTATGTGCCAGGCGTTTTAGACACTGGGGATTTAGGTAGCACCAGGACCTTGCCTTCATGAATTTACGTCCTAGTCGGAGATAGGAAAAAAAAGGGGGTAAACAAATATATAGCCTAGGAGTTAAGGGAAAACTTCTTCTGTGTCCTATGAAGCGTCACTGAAAAATCAACTGACAGATGGCAGATTAATAGGAGAGAAGGCATACACATTTACTAACGTGCCGTGAGAGTCTTACAAAATACGATCTCAAAGGAAGGCAAGATGGTTGCCACTTTTATACTATATTGAGGTTACAGAGAGAGTAGGGGCTCTAAGCTTGGCCAAAAACAGGTTATGTTTGTAAATCAGGTTATAGGAGGGAGAGAAGAGGAGACCTAGCTAGCAAAGGTGGTCTTATGTAGATGAAACCTCACAGGTAGCAGCCCTCAGGGAGAAGAAATGTTTCAGACCTTGAAGGTGCCAAACTCAGCTGATCTCACCCAGATCCAGACAAGAAAGGGCCCTCTGAGAAAAACTGGCTGCATCAGTGGAGATTCTCTACAGATGCTCATCTCCCTCACAGTAGGACTGCTTTTGTCTGTAGGCCCTCTGAACAGCCATCTCAAAATATTTCAAATAAGTCTATTTTGAGGTGAAATGTTTTGGTTTCCTTCAGTGGCTTTATTTCAGGTACTAGTTAGTACTGTGAAGAAAATAAAGCAGTTTGGGTCCAGGAGTTCAAGACTGACCTGGGCAGCATATCAAGACATCGTTTCTACCAAAAAAAAAAAAACAAAAAAACCCAAAAAAAACTGGGCGTAGTGATGTGTGCCTGTTGAACCGACTACTCTGAAGGCTGAGGCAGGAGGATGGCTTGAGCCCAGGAGTTTGAGGCTGCAGTGAGCTGTGATCCTACCACTGCACTTCAGCCTGAGTGACAAAGCAAGATCCTGTCAAAAAAAAAAAAAAAAAAAAGCAGAGTAAGGGAATGACTTGGGTGGAGAGGAAGATGCGGTTTTAAGTAGGTGGTCAGGGAATGATTTCTCTGGGAGGGTAGGATTTGAGTAGAGCCTTGAATGATTCAGATTTCGGAGAAGTATCCTAGGTTCAGAAACCATCTAGTGTGAGAGTCCTAAGGCAGTCATGTGATAAGAAGAAATATATACTTGGTCTTGTCCCACGTTCCTGACGTAGAGCTTCTCAAACCATTGTAATTTCCTGAAGGAAGGTGATAAGAGCATCTGTTGTTATTCATAACAAATCTCTTTCACCCCTACCTGAGTTTCTGTTAATGAGAGGGCTCTTGATAGGCCCCTAGATAGCTTCAGGATGGAGGCTGATTGCCAGAAGAACCAACCATGTGATTAGGGGATTCGAGTGTTCAGCCCGGTACTCCAGCCTCTGGAGATTGTGCCAGTAACCAGTGGACAATGATCTCATCAGTCATGCCTGCAGAATAGAGCTTTCTTTAAATTTTTATTTATTTTTATTTATTTATTTATTTTGAGATGTAGTCTCTGTGGCCAGGCTGGAGTGCAGTGGCGGGATCTCAGCTCACTGCAACCTATGCCTCCTGGGCGCAAGCGATTCTCCTGCCTCAGCTTCCTGAGTAGCAGGGGTTATAGGCGCCCACCACCACACCCAGCTAATTTTTGTGTTTTTAGTAGAGACGGGGTTTCACCATGTTGGCCAGGATGATCTCTATCTCTTGACCTCGTGATCCGCCCACCCAAAGTGTTGGGATTACAAGCGTGAGCCACTGCGCCTGGCGTTTTTTTTTTTAACCAGCGCAGTGGATCACAAATAGAGCTTTCTTAAAAATCCTAAATGATGGGTTTTGGAGAGCTTCCTGTTGGTGAACACATCAAGGTGTTGGGAAGGTGGTGTCTGGAAAGGACATGGAAGCTCCTGGAAACCTCCATTCCCATATTTTGCCATATCTTTTCCATGTGGTGGTTTCTTAGCTGTATTTTTTATAATAAACTGGTGATAGTAAATAAAGTGCTTTCCTAAGTTCTGCGAGCTGCTCTAGCAAATTACCCAACCTGAGGAGGCAATTGTAGGAAACTCCTGACTTCACAGTTGGTCAGGAGTCCACATGGCCCAGACCCGGCGACTGGCATGTGAAGTGTGGGCACTCTTGTGGGCCTGAGCCCTTACCTGTGGGGTCTGTGCTAACTCCAGATGGTTGGTGTCGGAATTGAATTGAATTGTAGGGCCCCCAGTTAGTGTCTGGAGAGTGAGCATTGGTTGGTGTGGGAAAAAACCCCACACATTTGGTGTCAGAAGTGTCATGAGTGGAAACAGTACAGAAGACATGATGTTAGAGTTTGGGGAACAATAAGAAAGCCAGAGTGGCTGGGGCAGACCTAGGACTGAGTCCTAGCCAGGCCTGCCTGACTTTCTCAGTTATTTTTTATTGTCGAAACTTACTTGACACTTGGTCATACCACCTGGTATGATTATTTAATGAATATAGCTTTTATTTGCAACTCTTGTGCTTCTTGAAATGAGAACCGGGTTTGTACCCTTTAAAAAACTATTTCCCACAGCACATATAGGTACAGTACACTACAGTTGTTCTTGAATGAATGAATTCTCGACATGGTTTCTCCACATTGTTTTATCTTCAGAGGCCTCTCTGTGGGGCAGCAGTGACCTGGTCATTCAGCCTTCAGTCCACAAACATTGCGGAGCACTTTCTGTTTGCCTGGTACTGGGCCAAGCAGGGGGAGGCAAAGATGAAGAGAGGTCAGCCCCTGTGCTGGATGCGTGCTGGGACAGAGCTGTCTACACAGTACAACACCGACAGAAGGGGTACAAAAATTCCTTCAGTGGGAAGTGGTGCTCGAGTGGGTCTTTCAGGAAGAGCAGGCGTTGACACATGGGAGCACGAAGAGAAGGGCGTTGACTAGGCACATGGGAGCACGGAGAGAAAGGCGTTGGAGGCAGAGACCAGCATGTGTAAAGGTCCAGAGGACTGGAAATGGAAAGAGGCAGTTAGGGGACTGTGAGGGGCGTGGCAAGGCTGGAAGAGTGGAAGGCTGGAAGGTCCATGGAAGACCCTGTTTATCAGGCTAGGAGTTTGGACTTTACCCTACAGGATAACAGCCCAAGTCACTCCTGCAAGGCAGAGGGTGAACTGGGCAGGAAACTGCGGGAGACCAGCTAGAGACTGTTGGAAATGATCGTCCCCATCCAGACCAAAGGTGGCTGAAAAGCCTGGAAAAGAGCTGTAAGTTAGGTCTTCTACTCTTACTCTCTATGGAATTGTCTTCTTGGTAGAGAAACTAGGCTGTCTAAACTCAACTGTCCTGAATATTAGAGGCCAGTGGTCGTTTTAGCAGCAACAGAGTGCAGTTGGTAACTACAGAGCAGGGTAAAATAAACTAAGCAAGTGACAGAGATGGATTTTAAGTGCTTCTTTACCTGACGTACATTTTCCTCTCAATGGGAGGGATGGAGATGGCCCAGTAACATGAACACTGCTCACTGATGTCATAGCACAGGTATCAAGGAAGTATCCATGTTCAGGTGACTTTAGTATCATTTTTATCTATAGGAGAAAATTGGAA